GATTTGCCATCCCTACCTAGTACTCGTTTCCTAACGACAGCATTGCCTATACGACTGTCCCATGATACACGAGCAATGCCTCGGAGACATCGATGATCGAAGACTAGTAACTCATACGGAAGTCCTCTCTACTCTTAACGGCCAAGTCCCGCATCCGTACAGAAAAATTTAGATATATATATCTTTCTTCAGCAAAATCGTCAGTATATACTACTTCAAAAAATAGGAGTGAAGTGATGGTAAATTCTCCATTACTACTATGTCTATATATAAGTTATTTTATTGGTTCTAGGTGCATTGATTTTGTAGCTAACTGACTATAAGAAGATCAGATGCTCAGACAACCGCCTATTCTTAGCAAACACTAACTTTAGGCATAAGGAAAAGCATCTGTTGACCTGGCGACCTCCAAAGTCGTCTCAACGTTGGACTCAACTAGATCACATCGCCATCAGCCACCGATGGAGGGGTTCGATAGAGGACTGTCGCTCGTTCTGGAGCACAAGTCTACATTCAGATCATGCCCTAGTGCGAGCGCGTATTTGTTTGAAGCTTACTGGGCGTAGGAAAGACACCGTAAGAAAGCCTCTTAGGGTTTTACTTAATGATAATAAGGCGAAAAATATATTTCAGGAACAACTAGAAAGACAGTTAGGCGACCATTTAAGTGATTCCCATCCGCAAGCAGGATAGAATAACAAAATGGTGACAAAATGCAGAGTCTTCTGACTACCCTAAGCAACAATGCAAGTATGTTCAGGATGCGGTTTTCCCCCTCGAAATGCAAAATGTTGCTTCAAGATTGGAATTCATTGGCACCTGAACTAGTGATAGGGAGTGAAGTGGTCGAACGTGTAGACCGCTTCACTTATCTTGGGAGTCTCACTAGTGCTGATGGCCTGGTGACTGACGAAATCTCAGCACGGATACAGAAGGCTCGATTGGCTTTTGCCAACCTGCGTCACTTATGGCGAAGGCGAGATATCCGTTTGCTGACTAAAGGACGAGTGTACTGCGCAGTGGTTCGCTCCGTCTAACTTTATGGCTGTGAAACATGGCCAATGAGAGTAGAAGATACTCGTCAGTTATTGGTTTTCGATCATAGGTGTCTTCGAAGCATTGCTCGTATATCCTGGGACATCCGAGTGAGCAACGCTGTTATTAGGAAACGGGTGGTAGGTACGGATGGCAGATTAATATATGAAGTGCCGAAACTTCATCAGTTGAGGTGGTTGAGACATGTCTTGCGTATGCCTAACCACCGACTGCCTCGAAGAGCTTTGTTTTGTGTAGGAGTAGGTTGGAAGAAAGTTAGGGGCAGCCAAACCAAAACATGGCACAAATCCATCAAGTCATTGACAAGTGGACTTAGTCATGTCGGTAGTTGTCGACTACCTGGTTGGGGTCCGCGAGATGATAATAATCGATGGTTAGAGACCTTGAATGACATGGCTCAAAATCGTTCGCAATGGCGCCAGTGCATTTATTCTTTGTGTGCTCTCTCAAATCCTAATCTTCTGGATTCTTCAACCCCCTCTAGTTTCGACTTTCTAAACTTGTCTCACTGAATCATATTTCTTGAATAATATCTTCTAATCCTTAACCTCTCCGACTACTTCTAATACCTTTACTACCTCTTCTACTATTGGATTTGAATTGACAATTACATCTCTGTGTGCTGATGTGGTATGGCGATATGAACTTATGTACATACGTACGAAGTTCTACGTTGCAACTGACTGACTGACTGAGATGTGTGTATACATACATCATAAATGTACAATAATTGATCATTTATTTAGTGAACTAATGTTACAACAATAAGTACTGGATTTATTGATTATATATAAATCACTCTAACCAATGAAATCATTATTACCAAAAAAATAGAAATAGATTATTGATTATAATTTTTTTTTACATAAGAATTTATGGCAATGAAAAGAAAAGAAAAAAAAAAGAAAAAGTAGGTACATTCAATCATACTTTTGAAGACAATGTTTCGCAGGTATAGAATATCCTATCAATTGAAGTAATATACCTCGATTATGCCATAATCGTATATTGTTTGGTTGAAAAGCTAAAACAATCATTTTAAAAAAAAAACAATGTTAAATACAATGAACTATGCACTGTCAATAAAACAAAGTGAGATCTCATGAGGATATGTAATTAGTGAGGTGAAAATCGTGTGAAGTAGTTGTTACTGACCGACTGACTGACTATATTGTATCCGCAAAATTGAATAAACTTCAACATGCATATCACTAAATATCGACTTAATGTTGGGGCACAGTTTTGGAGGTTTGCGTTTTTACACATTTGAAATCATTAATCAATCATCATTGTTAGACCACCATTAGAAACGGCCGTCCAGTGCTTCCAGGTTTCTAATGGTGGTCTAACAATGATGATTGATTAATGATTTCAAATGTGTAAAAACGCAAACCTCCAAAACTGTGCCCCAATATAATGTAACAGTGCTCACTAGTGACTAGCTTCGTGAGGAAATTCCGGATCGGAGTTCTAGTTGAGAAGACGTGACCAGTGGAGTTCAACCCTGTCGGGTGTAGGCAGTAACTACCAAAGACAAATGGGTGAGGTCGCGCAAAATCCCTAGATCAATCAGAGTTAGACATTAACACCGTTGGATGCCGGCCCAGTGGTCCGATGGTAAGGCGTTCGCCTACAATGCCAAAGGTCCCGGGTTCGAATCCTGCGAGGAGCAGGAGTCGTGGATGCGCACTGCTGAGGAGTCCCATACTAGGACGAAACGGCCGTCCAGTGCTTCCAGGTTTCTAATGGTGGTCTAACAATGATGATTGATTAACGACTTAATGTTGTCTAGACTAGAGGTTAAGTGATCACCGCGAAATCAATCTGAAGATCTTACGTTCGATAGTTAATGTCACGATTGTGAATGTATAATAATGCAGTTGAGAAGTGCCAAACTATTTTGTAAGATAATTTTGCGGAGGAGCAATTCAATTTGAAGTTGGTTGACTTCAAAACCCGAACAACGTGAGTTCTAACCCCACTCTAAAGGGAGTATAAGTCTCCTAGAGTATTTGAATTTTCCGATCGAATACCGCCTCCAGTCACTTAATATGAAAACAAAGTATATATGCTATTTAAAGTCACTTCGGCTAGTGAACACACGTTGTAAGAAGGATATGACATTGTTCATTACTACTCAGTGACCGATCAACTGAATAAATACATATTGTCAGTATATTCACATTCTAATTATCTGTCTAAATAAAACTGTACGTTACGTAAGATCTGAAGGGTAGTGAACTGACTTTAAACCTGGCAAATGAACATTAATGACTTTGAATAACTGACTGTATCATGATGTGATATATTTTAAAATTCCGATTTCGACTTCATAATTGAACACTGTAGATTGAAGTAGAACTTTTACTTCATATCATAACACAGTCATTGATAGGGTGATCCTATAAGAATTATCTGTTTAGGGTCAGATAATAACTGAGAAATAATGACAGATGCATACTACTAGTTGAAAATCCAGCCTAATCTTTTGACGAACACAAACTATTACATTCAAGTAATTGTCTAGGTTGCTAAACAGAATGAACGACTTCGTAGATGCCCAACTTCGAGATCAACAGGCCGGATTTCGTAAGGATCGATCATGTACTGACCAAATTGCTACATTACGGATCATTGTGGAACAATCAATTGAATGGAACTCACCACTCTACATCAACTTCATCGACTACGAGAAAGCATTCGATAGCGTGGATAGGAAAACATTGTGGAGGCTTCTTCGACACTACGGTGTGCCTGAGAAAATAGTCAACATCATACGGAATTCTTATGATGGATTCAACTGCAAAATCGTACACCAAGGACAGCAAACAGACTCTTTCGAGGTGAAGACCAGTGTCAGGCAAGGTTGATTACTCTCACCCTTTCTCTTTCTCCTGCTCATCGACTGGATTATGAAGACGCTGACATCTGGAGGGAAGCACAGTATCAACTGGACAGTTAGGACTCAGCTGGACGGTCTGGACTTCGCAGATGATCTGGCTCTTCTATCGCACACTCAACAACAAATGCAAGAGAAGACGACCAGTGTAGCAGCAGCCTCTGCAGCAGTAGGTCTCAACGTACATAAAGGAAACAGCCTAATTCTCCGATGCAACACAACATGCACCAACCAAATCACTCTTAATCGAGATGCCTTGGAGGACGTTAACACCTTTACGTATCTTGGCAGCATCATCGACAATCAAGGTGGATCCGATGCAGATGTGAAGGAGCGGATTGGCAAAGCAAGGGCTGCGTTTCTACGATCGAAAAATATCTGGAACTGCAAACAACTTTCAACCAAAACCAAAATCAGCATTTTCAATACAAATGTCAAGACAGTTCTACTGTATGGAGTGGAAACTTGCAGAACTACCAAAGCCATCATCCATAAGATACAAGTGTTTATTAACAGCTATCTACGCAAAATACTTCGGATTCGTTGACCAGACACCATCAGCAACAACGAACTGTGGGAGAGAACAAACCACATTCCAGTGGAGAAGGAAATCAGGAAGAAGCGGTGGAAGTAGATAGGATACACACTACGAAAAGCACCTAACTGCGTCACAATACAAGCCCTCACATGGAACCCTCAAGGCAAAAGGGAAAGAGGAAGGCCAAGGAACACATTATGCCGAGAAATAGAGAAAGATATGAGAGGAATGAACAAACATTGGACAGAACTGGAGAGGGAAGCCCAGGACAGAGTTGGTTGGAGAAAACTGGTGGGCGGCCTATGCTGCATTGGGGGTTACAGGCGTAAGTAAGTAAGTATCATTATTATAAATTTAATATAACAGCGTTAACATGAAATAAGTAGTACAATCCAAGTAATACAATAGCACACTAACCGATAGCTCGATTTAAACATTCTATAGCAACAGTGATAGATAGGCGTAAATGTGCTCGTCTATCGAACACTTGAATTAACTCGGACATCTTTTCTGATTCTGATGATGAAGTATGATGAGATGCTGCTGATGGAACACAAAGGAAATCACGTCCAGCAGATTCAATAATTATAGGCATCAAATGAAGTGTCAACTGTGAAGCTACTCGATACTAAATTTCGAGAAAGAGAGAGAGAGAAAGGCAGAATAAGAGAAAAAATTTTTTGTAAAAAAAATGGTTTAGCAACTAGCATTAGTTCAAGGGAAAAAAATATTACGATAGTTTTCGGCATACAGTGAAGTTATCAGTCGAACAAAACAAATGATAACTATTTTTTGCTATAGTGTGGTGCGTGTTACTTATAAGTAGTATATGACGTGAGTGAAAACGTAATGTCTGGCAGCACAAGATGGGGGGAAGATCAAGAAAGGAAGAGTTAGAACACAATGGAATTTGTATGAAACGCATGAATAGTGAAATGTCAGACAATGGATTGATGACTGATTGAAGATTTGCAAATTAACCGTTTACGATATGGTTTTCCTATTTTACTGAGTAACTCTGTAATTTTCGTTAAATACTATTCGGTTGCCCTCACCTGTATTCTCCTTCACTACACTGGTACGGTCAGAAGTAAGAAGAGTTCACTCTCCCTTACAAAATACTCTCAAATAACTACGCATAGATAGCCACTGTCAAGGAAGTGCCACTCGCTGCGTTCCCATGGCCGGAGTGTCTTTTAAGAATATGAGAGTACGAAAAGTGAATATCTGACGCCTAAGCCAGGTCAGTGGGGTACAGAGGATCAACTTAAGGGGGTTGGAAAACTTTGATTTACTGCCTTGTACATTGGAACGCAGGGTCAATGGCCTTCTAAGAAAACCACCCGCTCTAGTCTACGTACTTAACCAGTATCCCAGCCTGCACACAAATAGATTGATTTGTGGGGCGCATATAAAACTAGAGGGGTTGAAGAATCCAGAAGATTAAGATTTGAGAGAACACAAAGAATGAATGCACCGGCGCCATTGAGAACGGTTTTGAGCCATGTCACTCAAGGTCTCTAACCATCGATTATTATCATCTCGCCGACCCCAACCAGGTAGTCGACAATTACCGACATGGCTAAGTCCACTCATCAATGACTTCATGGATTTCTGCCATGTTTTGGTTTGGCCGTCCCTAACTTTCTTCCAACCTATTGTTACACTACAAAACAAAGCTCTTCGAGGCAGTGGGTAGTTGGGCATACGCAAGACATGTCCCAACCACATCAACTGATGAAGTGTCACTACTGCGTCTATTGATCTGCCATTCTTACCTAGCACCCGATTCCTAACAACAGCGTTGCTCACTGGGGTGTCCCACGATATACAAGCAATGCTTCGAAGACACCTATGATCGAAAACCAATAACGGACGAATATCTTCTACTCTCACTGGCCATGTTTCACAGCCATAAAGTAAGACGGAGCGAACTGCTGCACAGTACACTCGTCATACATTGGAATGTAATCTCAACATATCATTATTCAAAAGTATGTAACATTTTTATTGACAACAAAATCGTTTAACCTGAATCGGAAATTATATCTAAGATAACCCTGAAACCAATCTAAATTTTGTATATAAGGATTTTGATATTATTCTAGATATGTTGATCAGTGACCATCAGCGAAATAATCAATCAACTGTGATAGAGAACAACAAACCAGTCAAGGAGAAAATGGAAGAAAATAACACTGGAGATGAGGTGAATAGGTCATACTTTACACAGAGATTATCAAACTCAAGGCAAAAAGAGAATAATAATCAGGCCAATGAACAACACACGGTAACCTTCAGTCGGAGTGTTAGTGGTACATGGATGAAATCAAAGCATGACTACGTTGCTGCGCGCTGATTGGCTAATTTCCCAACCAATCAGCGCCTGATCGATTCTTGGAGAACAGGATAGAAAATTCTCGGATTGTTAGCTGCGTGCTGATTGGCTAAATCTAATCCAGTCGATCACGTGAATTTCTATCCAGAAGCTTCTCATGTGAATGCTATATAAACAGACTAACGTTGTATCAATTTTTTGCTTCGCCTTCGGCTCTTATTCCATTCAACCTTGCTATTTGGAATATAATCTCGTCCTGTTCAAACGTGTTTTGCTTCTTGGGAACTTGTCCAGTGTTTTGTGGTCAGAGAATACTAAGCAATGGGATTTAGCCGGAAATTATTTAAGCGAAGCATTACAACACGGAGACAGACATGAAAAACGACACATGACACGTGGCAATAACTAGAAAAGGTTGTTATTATTCTAGGCATCAATGAATTGATCAGTCTTTGTGAGTGTGTACCTGAGAATCTTGAGTAAAAAATGCCTTAAGTATATTGCGAAAAATGTAAATACAACTTTTACACACACACACACAAAACAAAGAAAGATATTTTAGAGTAAACTCACATTTGAACCGGTATACGCAGCATGAATCAAATGACTCAACACTTCCGTGTTGACTAATAAACCAGGACCAATTGATGGAGCGCCAGACATGACAGCAGTTAATTGAGCTGAAACAAGCCAAACTCTAAAATTATCTGGATCAATAGCTTTAGCTTGTTCCACTAAATTCACTGCAAGCTTGAAAAACAATTTATTTAAATAAATGAAAGAAATTCAATGAAATTAATCGGTGTTTTTTTTTCTGATTAACTTAAGATGAATTGTACAATGTAATTATTATACATAAACACATGTTTTATACCCAAACATATGAGGCGGCTTTAAGATATGAACTACGGGTACTGTGTGCTGTTACGGGTATGAGGGCGGTTATCACTTTCCGGTTGCCCACACCGTGCAAGGTTGTTGTTTCTTGAGGTACCTGAAAAGGAAGATAGATTAGTGTTGGTCTCGGAGACCTGGTTGCGTGACCACAGAGTCCAAGGGACAACTGCTTGAGGCCGGTCACGCACGGCCTGTTTATGAGGTTTTTGAGTGTTAGCTCCGCTCTTGAAAGCCCTTAGTGGGCACCCTTACTCAAGTAAACGGAAATCCGTCAGGTAAGATGAGGTGTGACATTTTTAGGGTCGACCTTTTCTAACCCTTCCTTCCTTGTGAGAAGGCAGCATCGCTGCAGATGCTGCTTGTCTGAGGGAAACACCTTACTGCTGTCACACCCCTCCATCACAGTCATCAGTACGACTTCGCCCTCAGACCTCATCACTCTCCAATCGACCTGCCTGGCATGGTAGAACCTTCAGGAACATAAGTTCCAGTCATCACGATAGGCAAGCCCGACCACCACATCAAGGTAGCAGATGACCACAGACGCTTGCACGTAGGTTGGGGACCATTGAATAAGCAATGCTGAGATTAGATGCACTCAGTAAAGGCAGTAAAACAGGTAGCAATAATAATAATAATAATAATAATAATAATAATGACTTTATTTAATATTGTATGTTCAGTAAAATATAGGATTCTCAACACGGAATATTTCTGTTTGCAAAACAATTAGTGGTTGGCATTTGGAAGTAAGCAGTCCAAGAATCGATATCTTATTAACGTCAGCAAATTGCCAACTACCGTTCGTACGGTTTCGTACCTTGTGAAGCGACAGTTCGTGAAATTTTTACATAAATTAGGCGAATAATAGATAAAATTAACGTGTTAAAACAAACAGAAAGAGGTGACTTGTTGAAATATTTTGATGTTAGGCAATAAGCAGTTCAAATATTCAAGCAGGTCGCCAACGGTTGATAACATTGACAATCTTAATCGGTACTGCATATGTCCAACAGCCACCTTTCTAGATGAATGATATTGAAAGCGCAGGTCACAGGATGGTGGCCAAATCAAGATGTGATGTAAGTGTATAAAGCCATTGGTAGTCAAACTGAGGAGTCATGTTAGTTGAGGTTCGTGTGAATAACGTTACCGAAGGTCTTGGGTTCGACACCTGTGGGGTGAAGGAGTCGTGGATGTGCACTGCTGAGCAGTCCCATACCAGGACGAAACGGCTGTCCAGTGCTTCCAGGTTTCTAATGGTGGTCTAACATTGATCGATTCATAGTTTCAAAAAATGTGTAACTTAACAATCTTCACAACCCCGTAATGCATATTAATATTATTACTCATGGAAATAAATTTATGAACGATAGTGGTGTTATGTGCTGCGATTGTCGAATTCAGATTCACAAGCTTCCTATAAACTCGTTCAAACACACTGAAGAGAATGATAAGACTGAGGAATGACTAGAGATTTAATTAGCTACGCTGAACTAACAGCTCACACAC